TTCATCACATCTGCTTAAGAAAACGCACAGGGACTTGATTTCAATTTCCAAATCATTGACGAGATGCCCTCGACGCAGCGCAGGGCAGCAACCCACCCTCGAGGGCTGGGAAGGCCTGGAGAGCTGTGGCAACAAGCACAGCTAGAAGAGACTGTTGTTGGTCAAAAAGGTGAAAAAGGGAAGTAGCAATTAATGGACACCCCCTCCTCCCCGCCCTACAGTCAAGAGCAAAGGAGTAAGCTCTGAAGCTTTTCCAACCTATAAGTAAGCTTCCAGTCTTTTTTGCATTAAAACTTAGCAAGCTGGTTGTCATCCAACAGTTGTCTGCACTAGAAATGTGCACATTGCCCAGCCTCGGTAGAAAAGGAGCTCACCCACAAACTGAACACAACGCAACCCATCAAGGACAACTCGGGTCCACTGTTAGAGCCCGAAGACACGTTCACACCACAGACGGTGGTTGATAAGTGTAGTGCACTCTTGTATGCACAACCGAATATTTGATTTAACAGCTTAATGCAATGCCAGTCCCTAGTCGTATTGCTTACACTGTAACAAAACATCCGTTACCTGTGCATTGGATACGGATGGAAACTGGTTAAATTAGTGGTTCTCAACCCGTGGGCCACGTGGCCCAATCAGCACACTGCTGCGGCCCACATGACATCCTGTTAAATGGACACAGAGGAAGTTGCATAGGTGCAGCCCACATAACACGTGGCGAGCGGCAAATGGGGCCTGTTATGGCAAACAGGCTGAGAACCACTGGCTTAAATGCAGAGCGTCTTGGATCTCCACTGTCATCTTTGTAACATAACTGCACTGTTTAACTGCATAATAATCATCCCTGAAGGGAAAACTCACTGTCAAAGAGCTGCTATTAGAAATCTTGAAAATGATGGAAGTAGTCAGATGCAAGAATGACTATTAGAAACCTTATAAATGGCAGGAGTGAGTCAGATTGAGTTTCATTAAATTTGGATAAGTGCATTACTATTTCGGTCCTGAGGCTGTGGACTTGGGAGTAAACAATCTAATAAGAAATGGCATAACGTTTTTCATTACATTTTAGCTGGAGCACCGATTAGGGACAAAGATTCAACTCTGCTCTTAGTTCTCCATCTGGTCCTGAGAAATATGCTTCCAACCTGGTCCCTCCAGTTTACCAGTCTCCCTCTGTGCGATGCTCCACGTTAAGTTATGGTCGTCAAGTGCTTCGAAATTCACAGGTTAACAAAGCTGTGTACGTACAGATTACTTTATGCCGCCTGTAACCAGCGTGACGAGGCATGCAGCTTTCCTGGAAACTCCACGCACGAGACAAGAAGCTGTGGCTCAAGCAGCAGGAACAAGAATAGCGAGGGGTTGAGTATTAAACAAAAGTACACACGTATAAAAAGCCAGCGCACATTTTTCATGAGGCCCTGTTGGCTTTAGATGGGGGCAGAGAGTGTCTGTGCAGCACCGGGATTGCTTCTGTTGCATAGGAGGAACTGGAGAATAGCGAGCCAGTCCCATCCATCCATCACTTCTGAAAAGCTCGGTCTACTCTGCTGTTTGTTATACGGGGTCCAAACGACACGAGCTGCTTGGTGGCGTGGCTCCTTCACCAAGCATTGTACAGGGGGGTGGGGACTGATGCAGGTAGCTGAAGGAACCGGAGCAAAAACCTGTAAAAGACTGGATGTAGCCGCCTCAAAAACCTGTCCAGGTGGTTTGATACAGCCACCTCCAAAACAAAACCATGCTCTTGCCACTAGCATGGCTGATGTCATCAGTGAAGTCTTAAACCCCCCCCCAACAAAAGCTCTCGTAGTGAAAATGGCTGGGAGCTGGCAGAGGTGGGAGGCAAGGTTAAACGTGTCTGGTCCCCGTTATCCTCCACTTGGTACTATGTAAACAGCTGCTTCCTTTTATCAGAGCAGCAGACTGCATTACTCAATTGCTTTTGGGGGGGTGACTTCCCCGACTTGCATATCTCCGTGTGGCATCTGTACCTAAGAGAGCCTGACCTAATTGGAAGAAAGGAGGATGTCTGGTGAGAGTGGGATGTTTACATGTCCCATATCCCACTCATCGTCAACACTTGGCTCCCCGTGACAGACGCGCGCTCTCGGAGGAGAGGGAGAAAAATGTGGGGAGCTGGGAACAGGGAGGGGGAAAAGAGAGGGAGAGCAGGAGAGAGAGGTAAGAAAAGGAAGGGAACCATTCACTCAAGAGTCCTGTTCCCAAGTTTTCCATTCCCACAGAATAAAACAAATCAGGGTGCAAAATCCTCCGACGCAATGGCACTCTGCAGAGGGCACAAACCGAAGTGCCCCGTTACCCTCACCCAGCGCACGCTCACGTTAGAGAAAGACAGACAGACAGCCTGGGAAAAATGGAGGGGCCAGCAGCTTTGCGTTTGGCTGCTCTGAAGGGACGTCAAGTGGGACCCGCTGGTGCCGGGTATTGATCCATCCATTTGGGTGGCCCTGCTTGAAAGCATCCTTAACGGCACTTTGCATGTCTCCAACCAGAAACGTGCCCGCCCCTCTCATTCGTGACAGGGAGAATGGAAAGTTGACTTAATATTACATCGCCTTTAGGAAAGGTTTAGGAAAACAATAGGGTGGGATTATCCCAATGCTCTACTACAAGAGACAAACCCGGCAATTTTTCAGCAGTCTGCAGTATAATTTATTTATAAGTGTTGGAACCCTATTATGACACATTACTGCCTTTAAGTATGAATATGAAGTCGACTCACATTAAATAAATGAAAGCTACTTTCATGCGCTGAACAAAAATGTCACAACTGACAGTGCCATATAATGACCTAGTTTCCCAGTGGCCCAGAAAGACTAGAAATAAATCCCGAGGTCCACTAGTTCAGACAAGCTGATGAGAGCAGACCCTGACTGTCTTGCATGATTAAAGGCTATGTCACAGCTCATTGGGGACTAAGCTTCCCAAGTACCCTCGTGGCACTGCTCTACGTGACTGGACGCCAGAATAAGGGGGACAACCCCACAAAAGGGAAATGAAACAGAGTTTCCAGGACTTCGGGAAAATGCTGAACCATAAATGTATTTGCTTACAGATAACGAGCAGATTCACCTGCGCTGCATTTTTGATGCACCTTAAAACGCCGCAATACGTTTTCTTATGCCAGCCTGGGAAAACTTATTTTCCAAGGATGTTATTCACACCCTAACAGTCTGAAAATATAAAATAAACTCCTGAAGTAATGACTGCTTGAGCAATTGGGTTTGGTACATGAGCATCTACGATGAGCGTCAGTAAGGAAAACACTTCTTTATTCTTTCACGAATATTAGTTCGGTGTCACTGCAAGGGAGGGGGAGACAGGTGTTTGGTCTCAGACGGGAGAAGCAATACCAGATAAAACAGACAACTTTAAAGCATTTCACTAGAAGTGAAGGCAACTAGACACCCAAACAGCCAGTCCTGAATTACAGCCTTTGAATGGTATGGGGCTTCACATTTCAATGATCAGGGTATGGCCCAATCAGAAGACAAACCCCTGCACTGCCAGGGATCAGCAAATAGGCTGTGTCCCAGCCCTGCACATGACTAAATTTGCTTCTGTCCATCATCTGGGTCATATATAGTTCAATTCAAGTGAAGCAGACAGGGCTGCAAGGAAATCTGGAGTGGTTCAATACCTCGTCTAGCCTGCTTTCAAGCCTGTGATATTCAGTGACAAACTCATGGCTGCATTTGTGCAACGGCACCGAATGCCGTGCTGGCTAGGAGTGCTATTTCTACACTAAAATTGCCTTTCGAGCTGCAGGGAAGTTGCTCTCCTGCCTACATAGGCTACAACTTTTTTTTGGACAGACACCCAACTGCAAAAAAAGTCTGTAATGCAACAAACAGTTCAGGACGACTCCGTCTCCTTAACTAGGTAAGAATTTTAATTCTTGTCTAAAATATTCTTTAAGCGTATACCTGTTAGAAATGTTGCCAACTACTCTGGAATAGCTTGTCGACTGAAATACTGTCAGTGAATTTTTTTCCGGTCTCATTTCTGCACGTGTTCCTTTGTTCTCCGAACAGAAGCTTTTTATATACATCTCATAATATAACACAGCTGGAGATAGTTACGAAACCAGTTAGTGCATGCTGAATACAAAAAGCCTTTCCTGACACTTTGCCGGCTTTAAGAATATTAGCGAGGGGCAACATTTAAAAAAAAAAGAACAAAGTTAAAAGAATCGTGCAAAGTTTAAAGTTTTTATTCCGTTTAAAATCGGGAGTTTTATGTAACCAAACACTTCTGTAGCCTGGAGGGCTAGTGGAGGCAAATATAGACAGAGAGGAACTGAGCCAGACATGGACAAAGGCATGAGCCAAAACCAGACAGTCCAGGTCGCTCAATAGGCCAGCAGTGGACGAGACAGGTCAGCCAGCTGCTGTGCAGAAAAAAAAATGGATGTGCGAGGTGCTCATGCGTGCAATCGTGACTTGCTTCTGAACATGCCAGCCATTTTCCCCAGCTGTGCTTTGTGTAATCTGAAGGAATGCAGCACGGAAAAAGCAACCGTCCGCCGCAGCAAAATGAATTTGAAATAACTGCAATTAGAAAAACAGGGGGGAAAGGGTGTGGGGAATTTTAGTGAGCTGGAATGTGTTGAGTGACAGGAAATGCCCCGAGCCGTCCCCCCCTTTCCAGTCGCGCCTGCTTTTGTCTAACTCTCGTAATCCACACACTACTGCTTACAAAGCTGTCTGAGTTTAAGACAAAAAGAAACATAAAAGAGCTCTCTTCCACGCTACCTGTGACATAACAGGAACATGCACGGCGCGGCTCGTCTAACGGCTGCTAAGCCCGCCGCACTTTTCTTCAGCTGGGAGAAAACGTGGCGATCGATAACGCCTTAGCAACAGTTGTTGTAATTTATATTTCTGGAATATTTTTCACAACAGATGGTAAAACGTGAGAGGGGAACCTGCTTTTCAAGGCTGCAGTCGCTACTTGGCTCTGCTTATATAGCTATTCTTCGTTTCTTTGCAGAGAGGGTTTGGTTTTGGTGGAGCTGCTCGACAGCTTACTTTTATTTCAAGTTACTTTTTAATAAATGATGGGTTTGTCAAGATTGTTGTAAATACCACCAGATAAATGTGGCAAGTGAAGCTGTACCTGCAATTTTCACTAGATCCAGGAAATATTTTCTGGAAGTGATCTTCTCTCGCTTAAGGACCTTTATTTTGTGCACTTGTTGGGCAAAGTATCCGCAATTGTTAACTATTGATGCTTATCAGTGGGAATTTTCTGATGCAACTAATCCATTAAGATAGCTTGGTAAACGTTAACTTGTACTGAGAAAAAGTTTGAGATTGCAAACTTTTCATATCGATGTTTGAGATTCGAAGCAGATTTTTCGGTTGGTTTTAACTAGTCTTCTTTAAACAAGTTTAGAAAGTGCGTCTGGTTACGACTTCACCTCCCTCCTCCACCCAGAAATGTAATTCATACGTTTAAAAGGTCAGGAGGAGCACTTAAAGCATACTTTGAAACATTTCCACCTTCCACATCTAAAGATTTTAACTGTGAACCTGTGAGACTTAGTTGAGCTTTCATAGCCCGGTTTGTAGCCTTCACGCCAAGCAGAGGTTATTCACAAGGCTGTTCGAGAAAGTCCATTCATATATCTGACTACCTGGATTTGAATAGAAACCAGACAGCAATTCTTTAGTTCCAGCCACTATTCGACCCACTGGACAATAGAGATTTGTTAGCACACAGGCACAAGCTATGGGACACAAAGCTTAAAGCAGCACAGAGATAGGGGGCTTCAGTGAACAGGAAATTACAGCTTTTGATGCACTATTGGCAGGTCTGCTGTTACAAAAAAGCAACATAACTATGCCATGTTTAAGAGCTCCTACTGCCATTTTTAACCACCGAGAGTGTCATAAAAGCTTTATTGTCACAGTACATAAAATCATGAAGTCCATATGGTTACTGCCCAGCTATGGACTCTCCCCAGCGGACTGGAGTGGAGAGCGACTGGAGAAGCAAGATAGGGCTGAAGATTTTAATTAACTTCGAAACGAGGCAGCAATTTTAAAAGGGACAAAAAGCTGAAATATGCTTATAAAAGGCCGTGCATTCCCTATTGGACTAGCTGGTACCTATTGACAACAGCTTTTTTGTTAGCAGAGACCCAATTTCAAAGAGATCTGACCAGACAGTTAATATAATTTTCTAATAAAATTACGGCATAATTAATTACATTGATACCCTACATAATAATTATTTAGAGGATCAAAGCTGGTCTCTTTCAGTGCAGTAATTACCAAAATAATTGAGGCAAATGCAAAACTATTAGACTTGACAAATACTCTGCCACTTCCCCATGCACCCTCCCCTCCCTCCTCCCGCACTCCCACCCCTCGCCCCCAAACCCTGCAGAAGTTAGACCCACAAGCTCCTTGAAGGACAGGCAAGCAACCCCCTGGTATACGCCAATGAGCAGCAAATAGAAAGCTCAGACGGCCAAACAGCAGGATTTATTATATTAAAAGCTTGAGCCCTGACTGTTCGTGCCACATCAACCGAATGCCAGCAGCAGTTTCAGTCTGTGCACGATGGCAGGAAGGGAGGTTGGAGGGTCTAGACTGCAACTGAAAAACATGCGCAACTTGCTACCCCAGCCACACCTAGCCAAGGGTTTCTTAAGTCACAACAATTATCCCAGCCACCGAACATTAGATGGACTTCACAGGCAACCGAACGTGGTTTAACAGCCATACAGGTACGGCGCGAACAAGGGAACATAACCACCGAAATCTCTCTCCGCACATAAAGTACGGAAAGCTGTTAGCACATCTCCTGGTCAAGAGCACAGCTATTTAAAAATCAAGAATGATAGTACTCCATGATAGCGAAGGGGCTGCTGTAGTTACAAACTGCATCACAGATATCAAGTAGTACATACTGAACATAAAACCAAAATTGTGCCTCATAAAAAAAAAACTGCCTTCTTAAGCACAAATGCAATCCTTTGCAATCCCAGAACGAGAGAGAACACAGATTGCAGCAGGGAGAAATTTCCGAAGGGAGCAGACGAGGCTTGTTTTTCAAAAGAAAACACCCTCTGGACATGTCTTCTAGACGTCCGCGTGGGCCTTCCTGGCACCTGCGTGCCAAGCCGACTGGTCACGCTGCCAGTGCCCCCCGGGCAGGACGTGGACAAACGGGAGGTATGACAAAAATGCCACACAAAACCTTTGACTACAAAGGCAAATCCCCACCTCAGTAGGCTGAGCGCAAAACACGTATCGTGCGGAAGAATCCAGCTGCTGGTTCAAAACATCCTAAGCGCAGATATGCGAGCGGAAATAATACTTTTTGCAGGATTAAGTTTGCATGAAAAGTAGAGAAGTAAAGGAAATTATATTAATCATGCGGTACAATGGGTTGTGCCTGTTACCTACCAGGGAATCGTGTTAGATGGCAGGCTGTTTGGATATTTGTGTGTGCGCGCACGCTGAAGTTGGTACAGTTTGGGGGGTTTTTTTTGAAGAGCACAAAGTGGGTATAAAACCCTGTCAGCTTCCTAATAAGACTTAATTTTCAACCAAAGCAAAGAACAATTTGGTGTTTCTATCGAGAACAGTCAGAATTAATGCTACCAGACTCTTACAGTGCAACAGCCCAGCCTCTGCTGTACTCGCCACGGGCACCAACTCTTACCGCTTGGAGCAGACTGCCTATAAAACCAACCTTAACATTGAAATTTAACAAAAGGACATGCTGGAAGGTTGCTTTCTGCCTTTGCCATTAATTCAGATGTCACTAATTTGGAAGACGAGTTAAGCAAACCACGTAGAAAGTAGACTCCCAGAGGCTGGCGACAGGGAGTTCCTGCCTTACAGAATAAAAACCATGCAAGGAAAGTCCAGGCAAAAGTTTCCCTTCTGCTGCTACATCTGTGTACTTACCCCAGAGCTGAAAATAATCCCACAC